GATGATCTTCACCCTAGAGTCCTGAAGGAACTGGCTGGGGTCATTGCAAGTCCCCTGGCATGGCTTTATGAACACTCGTGGTGCTCTGGAGAGGTGCCGGAGGACTGGAAGAGGGCCAACATGGTTCCCATCTTCAAAAAGGGGAGGAAAGAGGACCCGGGAAACTACAGAATCACCAATGGTGCAAAAGCAAAGAGCAGTTAAGTGGTCACCCATGACGGCTACAGCAGAGTTGGGATTTGAACCGAGATTCCTGCCATCCAGTGCTTAATTGCAATAGACAACTGCTAAGCCACAGAGGCAAATACTGGATGATGACATTAGAAGCGGAGGGTTTTCTGCATGGCACAGCATCCTTACTGAGGCTGTAGCTTAGCTCCATTAACTCACAGATAATATGGCAAATACAAGATAATATGGCAAAGAAACATGGTTGCAAAACTTATTATCAGCCCTTTCTTCCCACACCCCTCCCACCAAACACTTCTGATCAGCATTTCACCAGCTAATTTTCTCTTTTTGTCACGGAAACAAAAACACTTGCTCATTTCGTGTCATCTCCAAATACCGCCACAATAGAAAAATGCAGCCATTAATTACAGAAATTACCATTACGAGAGAAAATTATAGTAATTAAAACTGAGGTGAAACTCATTTGTACTTTCCTCAACTTCTCTTTTGTGGATGTTTATAAAAATCGCAAACTTGATGTCTCTTGTAAAAGACCTTGTAATGCAGCGATAGTTTAAAAGTCTGCGAGTATCCAAAAGGGATGTAGCTGTTCCCAACAGATGTTTGCTTTTACAACACTAAAGATTTCAGGCTCCTATTCAGTCCCATGCTGTCTGCAGTGCTTTGAGGGGGTGAGCTGGCATCCATAGTGCTTTCTGGATGGCAATGCCAATGCAGTCATTGATTAGTTCATGATGATGAAATCTTTGTCATGGGTGATCTTGGGAGGAACAGGATCGGTACAGTTCCTAACACCAGGGAAAGGGCCCAGAAGTGCTTACTGCTGGGATCACCCAGTGTTGGGCAGTGCAACAGGGCACTGGCCACAGGCTCTGTTATGGTCTGGGTTGTCTCGCTGGGCCCGAACACATGGGAGAACTTACTGGGGGAAGCCGGGCAGATAGTGTGGCTAAGGGAGCAGCACTGACAGAGTCTGAGATGGACATGGCATCCTACGTGCCTGACGCAGGGTGAATCTGGGTCATGGGAAACCGGAACCAGCTCCTACTGGCCGGAGGGAGCCCAGCCAGAAGTTAAAGGGGATGCCAGCAGAACTGAAGATCCCCCAGAGAGGGGAACCACAAGGGAGGAAGAACTTTTGCAAGCTGCATGAAACTGCAGAGTTGCCAAGAGAAGCTGGACTGATGGACCGCAAGTGGGATTTCACAAAGCAGGACGCTGCACTCGTCCACTGACAAGACAACTCCTAAAGACCGGTAAAGGGAAGAGCTACCTGGATTAGTAAAATGGAGATTTAAACAGTTTTATGCCCTAGGATATTGGATATGGCTTAGAGATATAGGCTGGCAAGTGAGGGGCTTCGGCCCTATAGAGACTCAAGTAAGAGGCCAGCCCTTACTGGATCTAATGCACTGAGGAGGGGAATTGATGACTTGCGGCTGCACAGCCGATGAATTGGACTAGACTGTTGAGAAAGTGATAGAGGGGAAACTGACAGACTCTAAAACTGATTATCCCGGAGGGGGATAGGCAAGAAATGAATTGATAAACCTAATAAGTGATGGTAGGCAATTGATATGAGCCAAGGATGGAGCATTAGCTGATTGATATAGCTCAAATGAAAATCGATGATGTGACAGGAGGCACCAATGAGGGGTGTAAACCACACCCCACTGAAGTAAGAATAAAACTGGGTGATTGCTACGAAGACAACTGGTTGGTTACCAGACCTCAATACACCATTATTGGGAGGATGAGACCCAGAGATAGGTCAGGTGCCAGTGCCTATGTAGGTGTGGTAAGGGCAGGGTGTAAGGGAGGTGGAGCCCTGTGAAGAATGATCCCATTTGAACCCCAGCTACTAAGGGCACCAAACACCTTGCCTCCCCTTATTCTCCTTTTTCTTTCTTTTGAACAGCAAGGCATGGCAGATGAGTGTTAAGGGAGACAACACAGAGTGAAGGTGAGAAGCCGTGGATTGGTCACCACCAAGGTGCAGAACTCCCATAGACAGGAACAGCTCTGTAGATTTAGCCTGAGTCTGTTGGCCACAGAGAAAAGAAAAGATGGTTAATATAGAACCAGGGACTGTGGTTTCTTTTGCTGCTACTGTAGAGCATTAGCCATAACGTTGCTCAGAGATGGGGCATGAAACTGGAAACATACCCTGCCTTGGTCTCATCAGATCTTTCTTTGCCTCTCTTGATTGCTCTCTGCCAACTTCTCTCCCTCACGTACCTCCCTCGTTGCAGTCACAGCAGCATCTCCTGGACTCTCTCTATGAAAAGTATTAAGAGGAGGGACACCAAGGGGAACTACAGGCCAGTCAGCCTTACCTCGATCCTGGGCAAGCTGTTCGAGAAAATTATTCTGGCACACATCCAGGAGGGGCCAGCAGGGAGCTGCATGCTCAGGGGCAACCAGCACGGGTTCATCAGCGGCAGGTCCTGTCAGACCAACCTGGTGGCCTTTTACGACCAGGTCACTAAATCATTGGATGCAGGGGTGGCAGTGGATATAGTTTTCCTA